CCTCAGGCTGAGCACACGGGCCGCCGCCAGGAAGGCCGCCCCGGTGAGCAGCTCGGCGAGGAGGCTGACCCAGCCCAGGGCCAGGGACCAGCCGAAGTGGATGTCCACCTGCTCAAGAAGGACCTTCTCCTCCAGAAGGCACAGCGCCTCCTGGAAGGCGGCAGCCGAGTACGCAATGTAGACGCTGATCCCGGCCAGGGTCACCAGGGCTACAGGGAAGGCAGAGGGGCCGCCAGTCACTACCCCCCCAGCGCCCCCCCTCTTGCCGGCCCAGCCTCACACGCTCCTTCCTTCCCTCCCTCCGCAGGGCCTTTGCACATGCCCCCCCCATAGGTCACCCCCGCTCTCCCGTTTCTCAGCCTGCGGACTTGATGGAGCAGTCACTCCACAGCTCCCCTCTGCCAGCCACCCACCCAGGCCACCACAGCCACTCTGCAACTCCTTAACTGCTGTCTGTCTCCCACAGCAGGCAGGCTTCTGGGGGCCGGGGGCCTGTCTGGCTCATCCCTGGCTGCCCCCACAGAGACCCTGCCTGGCCATCGTGGTGGCTCCACAGATGTTAGACTCTGCTGCACTGTCCACTGGACACTTGAGCCGGTAGCCACTGGCCACGTGTGGCTACTTAAATGTAAGTTGATTGATTTACATCACATTAACAGCTCAGCCCTCCTCCCATCCCCGAGCCTGGTTCATGGCACAGTGCGGGTTCGAGAATTCCTCGACCCTCCCAGAGCCTTCACCAGGCGGTGCTGTTTTCGAGAATTCGCAGTTGGGTGAGCCTTGAATACCAGTGTTAATAATGATCATGGGTGTTTGAAGGAAGTCAGAGCTTTGTGACATTTTCACCTCCAGAACTCACTTTTGTTTTGGGGGATCCCCCCACACACACACACTGTGGATTCCAAGTGTGCGTGGCATCATCATTGTCTTGCTTTTATTATTATTATTTGTGCCTCTATGTAGAGATGGTGTCTTGCTATGTTGCCCAGGTTGGTCTAGAACTCCTGGCCTCAAGTGATCCTCCCGCCTCAGCCTCCCAAAGTGCTGGGACGACAAGTATGAGCCACCAGGCTGAATCTCTTTTCAGGAGGAATCATTTCAAACACACAGTGGTGCCGGGAGCAGCCAGCCGGATCCCACTTCTAGAATCTGATCTGTCGAACTGGCGACGTTAACCCAGCCATTGTCTGCCAGCCTGTTGTGTGTTGTGTGTGTGTGTGTATGTTGTTGCTTAACTGACACGTAAAAATCCTATTTCTGGTGTACAACACGACAGCCACCTGTCTGTGTGCCGCATCTGTGGGGTGAAAACTAAAATCCACTCTCTGTGATTCTCGAACCCGCGGGCTCAGGCAATCCTCTCGCCTCAGCCTCCCAAGGTGCTGGGATAGGTGTGAGCCACCACGCCCGACCTCGCTGCGATTCTCAAGAACACAGGACAGGGGTACCAACCAGCCACTGCGCTGCGCAAGACGTCCCTCCTGTGTGACCCACACTCTGACTGGCATTCCCCTTCGTCAGCACAAGCCTGCTCCCTGTCCTCTTGGACTCTGAGATCCTGCACACGGGAGACCACGTGCTGTCTGTCTGCACCCGGCCGGGCCTGGCTCTCACCCATCGCAAGTCTCCGCCAGAGGGGCTGATTGGCAGGAGGGAGTGAGGGTCTCCTGCTGGCCCCAAAGCTCGAGGCCATCGTGAGTCCGGGCAGAGGTCAGACGTCGGTTTTCTTGGGTGAGGTCATGAAACCGATTCTCAGAAGCTGCCTCCTCCCGGCCACTCCTGACTCAGAGCCACAGCCCCCCGGGACCCTGAGCTGGAAGCCTTTCATCTCTTCCGGCTGAGACACCCAGGTGGGGAAACAGAGCCCCAAGGGGCTCTAAGGCCCGCACCCCACTGAGGGACCCCAGGCCACAGGCAGGGTAGGCACCTACCTCCAAAGAGGAAGAGAGTCCCAGTGAGCAGGAGGAGTGGACAGGCGCCGAGGAGGAAGCTCAGAAACCCCGTCATGCCCCCAAAAACCATCAGGATCAGGCTGAGCGGCAGCAAAACCACAAACGTCCCGTGCATGGCTAGGAAGAGGCAGGGAGGACACCAGGAAGAGAAGGTCACTAATGTCCTGCATTCAGTCAACAAACGTTTACATAACAGTCACTGCAGGTCAGTCTCTGAATGCTGTCACTACCCTGCCACTCACGACTCCTTGCTCTGTTGTCCAGGATGGAGTGCAGTATCACAATCATAGTTCACTGTAACCTCGAACTCCTGGGCTCAGGTGATCCTCCTGCCTCAGCCTCCATAGTAGCTGGAACCTCAAGCATGCACCACAGCACCCAGCTAAATACATACACATATATATATATAGTAGAGATGAGGTCTTGCTATGTTGCTCAAACTGGTCTCAAACTCCTGGCCTCAAGTGATCCTCTCGCCTCGGCCTCCCAAGGCTCTGGGATTACAGGCGTGAGTCACCATGCCCGGCCTGCTACTACCATTTCTCACATGCTGATGATAATAATAGAGACAAGGGTGACTGAGACCATTGTGCAAGGCTGTGTGCTTTGGAAGCCACACCTCAACCCTCTGGGGCTGGAGCTTATCCAGGAGGTGCTATGATTGCTGTCCATTCGTGTGATCAGTCGGTGCCAACTCATTGGCCAATAAACCAGAATCCCTGCCTTCGCGGGGCTGGCATTCCAGGGTGTGGAGTCCACAGAAAACAACAAAGAAGTAGGTGACAGCGTTGAGAGCCGGGGACCACACGAGGCCCAGGAAGAAGGCAGGGATGGGCCGGGGTGTCCCCAGGAAGGAGGAGCCAGGCAGGGTTTGGGGCAAGAAGGGAAAGGTCGCATGTGCACAGACCCCAGGCTGGGCGTCCCCGAGCCGGGAGCTGGAAATGCCTGGGGGACACAACAAGCGAGAAAAGTAGGAGATGGAGGTAGAGCGTGAACAGGGCAGGTAGCCAGGCCGACACAGCAAGACCCATCTCTACACAAAACACTTAAAGACTAGCCAGACATGGTGGCACATGCCTGTGGTCCCAGTTATTTGGGAGGCTGGGGAGGGCGGATCCCTTGAGCCCAGGAGGTGGAGGCTGCAGGGAGCTGTGATTGTGCCACTGCACTCCAGCTTGGGCACCAGAATGAGACTGTCTCTCAAATAAAATAAAAATAAAAACAGGACAGGCCACGTGGGGCTCATGTTAACCTTGACCTCTCTGAGATGGCGCCACCAGATAGCTTAGGACAGCAGAATCAGGGGAGGTGGCTTAAAGCTTTGAATGGTGGCCCTGGCTGCTGTGTTGAGTAGACAGCAGAGGGACAACATGAGGCCCAGGGGACAAATGGGGGCTCCTGCCTTACACCCCCGACCTGTGGGGAGTCTCATCTGGAGAAAGACTCTTTGGCGACGTGCTTACATCAAGGATCCTGAGATGAGAGACCAGGTTAGCGGCTCCACATCCCACGAGAGGTATCCTTAGAAGGGAAGATACGGAGAAGTGGACACAGCAGAGGCTGGCGAGACGCATCTACAAGCAGGAGGCCGGCACCACCAGGAGCCAGAGAGAGGATGGACTTTCCATCCGCAGTTCCAGGGGAGAATGAACATCTGACGTGCTCTGCCACCCCGCAAGTGGCCATCTGTCATGGCCGCCCCAAGGCAGGTACAGGGGTTGGGCTGGCAGCAGGAGAGCACTGGGTGAGTCTGCAATTCCCCTTCTTTCCTCCTCCTCTCCCTCCTTCCCTCCTTCCTTCCTTTTTTCCTTCACTCCCTCTCTCTCTTCCTCCCTTCCTCTCCCTCCCTCCCTCCCTGTCTCTCCTTATTTCCCTCCTTCCTTCCTTCCTAATTTCTCTTTCCCTCCTCGCTTTTGCAAGTAGAAATCCTGAGTAGGGAAGTACACCAGCCAGTGTGGAAACCTGGTCATTTCAACTTGTCCCCCAACATGGCATCGCCTCCAGATGACGGCCCCAAAATGAAATCATTTCTCTTTAGAAATTAATGAGGTTTCCCGAAGCTGGCGCAGCCCTGGCAGCCCCGGGAGGGCTCCCAGACGCACCGCCAGCTGGCTTGACGTGCACATTCAATTAAGTGTCTGGGTAAGAACAGGCTCCCGTGGGAGAGTTGTAAACGTCCCTGCTGAAGCTGGGGGTGGCTCTCTTAAGCGTGTGCCTTATTCTCTGCCTTTCTTATTTCTAGGATTGTGGTCTTAGAACATGAATATCCCAGGGTTGTTTGACCTGGAAACATCCCGTCTCTCACCCTGTCTCCAAATGTGCTTAGGGAAGACGTCCACCCTTTGGGACATAAATATAATAAAGTCATCAGTTTCTGGAGCGGTGATATTTGGGAGGGGGTGGGGATGTCAGGGGGGGTAGAGTAGGGTATGGTAAAAAGACCAGTTAATAAGAGTTTGAGTCGGCGACATTCAAGCTGTGTGACTCTGGACAAATGACTGGACCACTTGGAGCCTCATCAACAAGTAAATGTAAAAGCCACTTCCTTGCCAGGCATAATGGGACAGAGCATCTCTGAGCCCCTCCCTGCTGCAGCCTCTCAGTTGAAGCTAAAGGCAGCAATCACCCGCCTCAGCCAATGGTTCCTGAGACTCTGTTCTGTCACCAGCGCTCCTGAGGTGTTTGAGGCAGGAGTACTCACCGCCCGGGCCTTCCTGACCTTACCAGCATGGCGCGGCTCTTTGAAAAGGGCGATAATGGAACGGCCACACACACAAGGGTTGTGTTTTGCTGGTGTGAACATCTTTGCTTCTTTCTTCTTTCTGGAGCTTATCTTCCCTTTACTTGCAACAAAGCCATTTTGAGTTTAAAATCTCTCTACTTGGGCACACACATTTACCCTTAAGGAAATGATGAGCTGTGAAGATTTTAATATTATGATTAATTCTGCCTAATAATCATAAGCCATCATCTATTGAGCACCTGCTGTATGTTATCCAAGATATAAGCCACCATCTTTTGAGCGCCTGCTGTATGCCATCCAGGACAAGGTAGGGTGTTACATGGTATCACCTCCAAGAAGACATGCTCATGTTCTAAGCCCCAGCACCTGTGAATGTGAGCTTTTTTTTAGATTAAAAAAAAAAGCTTATTTAGAAAGTAGATTAGAGAGAGAGAGAAGACTCAGCTCCCCAAGATAGGGGAGGGGAGCCAGAGCTTAGAGAAAAGCATGGCCCAGTCATAGCTTAACAAAGGTACGGCCAGGTCACAGCTTTATAAAAGCATGGCCTGAATGTGAGCTTATTTAGAAAAAGCATCTTAGCAGAGGTGATTCAGTTAAGAATCTCAACATGAGATCATCTTGGGCCAAGCCAGTGGGCCCTAAATCCTATGACGTGTGTGTGTGTGTGTGTGTGTGTGTGTGTGTGTGTGTGTTATTCAAAGTCTCACTGTCACCCAGGCTGAAGTGCAGTGGCACACTTACAGCCACAGCAGCCTCGACCTGCTGGGCTCACGCAATCCTTTTGCCTCAGCCTTCCAAGTAGCTGGAACTACAGGTGCGCACCACCACACCTGAATAATTTTTTGACTCATTGTCAAGTTGCCCAGGCTGGTGTCAAACCCCTGGATCAGGCAGTCCCTCACCTCCACCTCCCAAAGTGCTGGGATTACAGGTGTGAGCCACCTGGCTAAATCCCATGAGAAGTTGGGAGATGAAGGCAGAAGTTGTGATGTAGCCACAAGCCAAGGAGTGCCGAGGACTCCCCAACACACACAGCTGCCAGAAAGTGGGAAGGTCAGGAGCAGTCTCTCCGAGAACTGCCAGAGGGAGCATAGTCCTCCTGGCACCATCATGGGAACTTCTGGCCTCCAGAACTGTGAGAGATTAAACTCCCAGCCAAGTGCAGTGGCTCAACACCTGTACTCCCAGGACTTTGGGAGATGGAGGTGAGAGGATTTCCTGAGCCCAGGGGTTCAACCAGCAAGACCTTGTCTCTACAATAGATCAAAAAATTTGCTGGGCATGGTAGCATACTCCTGTGGTTCCAGCTACTTGGAAGGCTGAGGTGGAAGGATTGCCTGAGGCCAACCGGTTGAGACTGCAGCAGCCGTGAGTGTGCCACTGCACTCCAGTCTCCAGTAAGACTCTGACTAAAAAAAAAAAAAAAATTCCTGTTGCTTGGAAGCCACCTCATTTGTCATAATTTGTCACTGTGGCAGCCTTTTTCATAGATTTATAAATTTGTCTATATATTCACATATTTCTCCAGTTCCATGATGCACACTTAATCTGAACACAGAATGTGTTTGACCATCCACAGCACCTCACAATCCTAATTGGCAGTATATTTTTCTATCTTCATGGCACTTAAAACAAAAGTGCATCTTAAAATGTCATATACCCAAAGCAAAGGTAAAATAGGCCAGCATGGTGGCTCACATCTGTAATTCCAGCACTCTGGGAAGCCGAGGAAGGGAGATTGCTTGAGCACAGGAGTTCAAGACCAGCCTATGCAATGTAGCAAGACCTCATCTCTACAAAAATTAAAAAATTAGCCAGGCACGGTAGTACATGCCTGTAGACCCAGCTACTCGAGAAGCTGATGTGAAAGAATCACCTGAGCCCAGGAGGTCGAGGCTGCAGTGAGCCATGATGGAACCACTACACTCCAGCCTGGGCTACAGAGTGAGACTCTGATTCAAAAAAGAAAGAAAGTAGGAGAGAAAGAAGAGAAGAGGAGGAGAAGGGAGGGGAGGGGAGGGGAGGGAGACAATTCTGGAGGTTTTTTGTGGGGATTACTGTCCGTAACACTCTGTAACTTGCTGTTTTCATTCCACAGAACATCGCGACTCTATCCACAGTACTACATTCTTTTTACAGGCTATATAATATTCCATAAAATGGGTAGACACAAGCCGGGCTCGGTGGCTCAGCCTGTAATCCCGCACCTTTGGGAGGCTGAAGTGAGTGAATTGCCTGAGCCCGTGGGTTCGAGACCTGCCTGGCGAGACCTCATCTCTACAATAAATCAAAAAATGAGCTGGGCGTGGTAGTGCGCACCTGTAATTCCAACTACTCTGAAGGCTGAGGCGGAAGGATCGCCAGAGCCCAGCAGGTCGAGGCTGCGGTGGCCGGGAGCGGCCACTGCACTCCAATCTGGGTGACAGAGTGAGAT